GGAGGAGGAACCCCTTCCCTCAGCCGCTGGCTCGAGCCGCGCCCCCCCCCGGGCGCGGCGGACACAGAGCTCGCCGGTGATGTGGAGCCCGCGGGGCGGCTCGGGCACGGCGGCGGGCACTCCGCGGGGCTCGCGCAGCCCGCCTCCGTCGCCGCGCCAGCCCCGCGGCGCGCCGCAGCGCAGCAGCCAGTGCAGCAGCCCGCGCGGCAGCCTCGCGCACGGCCGGGGGGAGCGAAGAGTGACGTAAGCAGGAAAATTCGGAGGTCCGCGCGGATTCCTCGGATCGGCGCTGGACCCCACCCCGCTGGCGCGCGGAGCGCGCCAGGGACGGCGCCGGAGGCGCCGCCAGGGGGCGTCCAGCGCGGATCCGAGTAATCCGCGCGGACCTCCGAGTTCTTATGTTTATGTCGTTGTTCGTTCCCCCAACAGCCCCGCGCGCAGCCCCCCGAGCGGCCTCCAGGGCAGCCCCGCGCGCAGCGCCTGGCGCAGCCCGCGCGGCCGCCGCAGGGCCTCGCACGGCGCTCTGGAGGAGGGGGCGGGCCAGCTGCTCGGGACCTGCTCCTCCTCCTCCTCCTCCTCCTCCTCTCCTCCTCCTCCTCCTCCTCCTCCTCCTCCTCCTCCTCCTCCTCCTCCTCCTCCAGGGCTTCGAGCAACGATCGAGATGACGCAGACCCGGGCGACGCCTCTGATGGTTCCGTCGAGGAGGGGCGCAGCAGCCACCAGCACGTCGGCGGCGGGCAGGCCGTGCACCGCGCAAGGCCCGAGGCGGCCTTCTGGCCGCGCTTCGGGGGCAGGCAATACTCGGAGAAGAAACCACGGCGTAAGCATAAGCTTTTGGCACTCCGCGCGGATTTCTTGGATCCGCGATTTGCCCCTCCCCCCCTCCCCCCGGCGGCGCCTCCAGCGCCGCCCCTGGCGCGCTCCGCGCGCCAGGGAGGGGGTCCAGCGCAGATCCAAGAAATCCGCGCGGAGCGCCAAAAGTTGATGTTTGTGCCGTTTTTCTTCTTCTGAATACGCTGCGTCGCTGGTGCTGGTAGGGGGCGTGGTCGTGGTTCTGCTCGGCGCCCTGGTAATCTACACGCAGCAGCGCCAGCAGAGCTCAAGCGTACAGGCAGCGGTCGGGGATCGCATCCTCGAGAAACCGATGGAGGGTGCGGCCATCGCCAGCGTGACGGCGGCGCGGCCTGATGTGGCAATGCCAGACAGGATCGCGGCGCCAACCGGACGCAGCGCAGCCGCAGGCGAGTCGTTGGACCCCGATGTCCAGGGCGGCAGTGGCGCGGCGAGGGCGGGCGTGGCGGCAGCGGCTGGCACGGACTTCAACGGGGTCGCGGCGACGCCAGACGCGGCTGCAGTTACGGTCGGGAAGCTTTCCACTCCAGCTGTGCCGGGCGTGGATGCGCTGGCTGGCGAGGGCTTGAACGGGATCGCAGTGATGCCACACGTGGCGGCATTGACGACCGAGAGGGCTACCACTCCAGCTCCCGCCCCAGTCCCGCCGCCGCCTGCCACCCCAGCTCCCACCCCAGCTCCCACTGCAGCTCCCAGTGCAGCTCCCACGCCAGTCCCGCCGCCGCCTTGTGCGATCTCGGGGGAAAACTGTGCTGAGAGTCGCTGCTGTGTCGGGGCCGGCGAGCAGTGCTACGAGAAGAGTCCCGGGGAGGCGGCGTGCAGGGCAGAGTGCCGTGCTGGTCCAGACATGTCCGCCTATCTCGAGCGCTCTATCTGGTCTTGCCGGGAGCTTGGGGAGCGGACGACTGGCCGAGTGACAAAGGTGAACTGGACGGGCTTGCCTGTGCCAAGGTGGGCAAAGCAGTACTGCTCCTCGGGCAAGGACAACTGCCAGATCACCAGGTGCTGTAGCGAGGAGGGCATGCAGTGCTACGCTAAGAACATGTCGGTGGCCCAGTGCAAGCCCTCCTGCATGCCGGGCCCAGACCTGACCGACGTCGACTGGATGAGCTGGAGCTGCGAAGAGATCGGACCACGCACACCGGGGACGGTCTTGAAGCCGGCCGTCACGAGCCTGGTGGCGTCAGCGTGGGTCAGGACGCAGTGCTCGGTCAGTGGCGAGAACTGCAACATGACAAAATGTTGCAGTCAGGATTCAAGGGACGGACCCGATAATTGGCGTTTGCTAAACGGCCCTGGGCGTTTACTGAACAACCTTGCCCTGTTCGCTTCCTTCTTTGGGCCTGAACAACTTCGCGCGTCGGGGTGGTTATTATGGGGCAGAGCCGGACCTAAACGTTGCTTTGCTGGACTTCGGCTGTGTATTGTTTTTCTTTTTGGCAGGGAGGTACAGGAGAACAGGGAGAGCAAAACGAACAACAAAACGAAACAAAACGAACAACAATGTTTGGGTCCAGCCTTGTATGGAGGTAAATGTTTTGACCTCCGAGGATGGCCACCAGTGCTACTCCAAGAGCCAAGGCTGGAGCTCCTGCAAGCCGGACTGCACGCCTGGGCCCCAGCCAGAGGACTCCAGGCCTCCCAGAGGGGGTCCGAGCAGATGGGGTCAGCAGAGTCGCGCCGCATCGACGATGCATCGGCGACGCGACTCGATGTGGCTCCCGAGTTTCCCCACGCCGACGTGTCGCCGATGCATCGCCGACGTCGCCGAGGCATCGCCGATGCATCGCCGATGTATCGCCGATGCGGCACGATCCTCCGACCCCATCTGCTTGGACCCCATCCAGGAGGCCTCTACCCAGACATGCGAAGTCCTGATTTGTTCAGGACGGCGTCCCTGGAAGTCCAGACCCCTTCCCCGGGGCTGGCTTCTCATCCTGGGTCGTTTTTGTTGACGGTCCCGAGGCCCGGCGAGGGCCCCCAGGGGCCGAAAGCATCGAAGAACCTCCCGCCCTGATTTTTGCACGACGCCATCCTGTCTGGGTAAGGACCGCGCGGACGAGAGCTGGGCCTGCCGCGCCGAGGGGCCCCGCACGCCGGGCCGGGCAGAGGCGCCTCCCGTGAGGCGGGGCTCCTTCCTGGTCGTCGGCGACCTGGGAGCGGCAGGTCGGCCCCGCGCGTAGGGGGGCAGGGGGGAGGGGGGAGGGCTTCTTGGAAGCACCCCTCCTTCTCCTCCTCCTCCTCCTCCTCCTCCTCCTCCTCCTCCCCCCCTCTCCTCCCCCCCTTCTCCTCCTCCTCCTCCTCCTCCTCCCCCCCTCCTCCTCCTCCTCCTCCCTCCTCCCCTCCTCCTCCTCCTCCTACTCCTCTCCTCTCCTCCTCCTCCTCCTCCTCCTCCTCCTCCTCCTCCTCCCCCTCTTAGGTCGTCGACCTGTAGGAAGCCCTGGGAAAAATCCTCCTCCTCCTCCTCCTCCTCCGCCTCCTCCTCCTCCGCCTCCTCCTCCTCCGCCTCCTCCTCCTCCTCCTATGCCCTCTCCCTTTTCGGGCGGATCGAGGGGGCGTGGATGAGCGACGGGTCCCGTTTCCATGGGAAATCGCGACTTTCCGCCGCCGAGCGAGGCGGCGCCGGCCACATTTTGGGGAGGGCACCTCCCCCGATATCCATGGATTTGGCGACCGCGCGCCAAATCCACAGATCGCTAATCCACGCTTTCGCGCCCCCGATTCTGAGAAGGCGGGGGCTTTGTCTATAGATGTAAGGCCGGCGCCTCCTAAGAAGCCTTCCCCCCCCCCCCTCCACCCTCTTGTGCACGCCGCCGGCAGAGGAGGCGGGCACGTGGGCTCGGCGAGGTGCAGGCTTTCGAAGAAGAGAAACCGCCATAAACATAAGCTGTTGGCGCTCCGCGCGGGTTTCTTGGATCCGCGCTTTGGCCCCCCCCGGCGGCACCTCCGGCGCCGCTCCTGGCCAGCGCAGATCCAAGAAATCCGCGCGGAGCGCCAACAGTTTGTGTGTTGTGGCGTTTTTTCTTCTTCCAGGCTTGCCGTCGCGAGGGCGATGGACGCCAAGATGAGCGAGCTGGGAGACGTGAAATTCGTGGTGAACGTCGGCGACTCCTTCAAAGACAGCGGCGTCCTGGACAGGGACGACGAGAAGTGGGACAGGGCGTGGCGCTGGATCCACACCGACCAGCTCCGCAGTGTTCCCTGGTACAGCGTATACGGAAACCACGACTACCGCTCGGACCCTTGCGCGTGCGTCGACGTGGAGGCGGAGTGCGCGCAGGTGAATTACGACGAGCAGAACCTCGAGTACTTCCAGATGCCTGGCACCAGCTACTTCAGGGCCTTTCCAGACATGGGGATCGAGATCGTGGGCTTGGACCTGAACAATTTCTGCGATGCCAGCTTCGAGACCGCAGGCAGAGGGCCAGGGGATCTGGTCTTCAGGGAGTGCGCACAGAGTGACTGCGTCGCCAAGTGCGTCAACGTCATCAGGACTCGTACCCTGGAGGCTCTGAACCTTTTCTTCAAGCGCACCAGGGAGTCCACGGCCAAGTCGCTCGTTGTCTTCTCCCACTACCCGACGGACTACTTCACCGGCTCCCCCGATTTCCTCAGGGCTCTGGCGGACAACTCCAGGCACAACATCACATACTTCGGCGGCCACCGCCACGGCGTCGACAACGCCAGCGCCGTCTCCATCGAACCGAACAAGTACTGGGTCGTCGGCGAGGGCGACGACGAACGCTGCGACGCGGATCGGCAGCAGGGTTTTGTCGTCGGGGAGATCGCAGGCGACAGTTCCATCACGACCTACCCCGTCTTCGTGGACGGAGGGTGCTGCTCTTCCTGAGAGGCCAGCAGAAGCGGAATTGACACGAAGCGCTAAACACATGTTCCACATGAGAGGCCAAGAGCTCAGCCTTTCTGCAAGTTCATGCTGGTGGCCGCCACAGAATTCACACCGTCTTCCCACTGGTAATGCTAGTCCATCGGGGAGTACTTATAGTAAGACATTGGCCGGTTCCCTGCCAGAGACTTGAGAACTTGTTACCGCTCCGCTTCGTCATGGGAGGCCAGGCCGAGCTGCCCGGCAAATGGCCGGGTCTTTTTCTGAAATATCTAAGGATTGGGCAGTCGCAGTTTTAAGGGTAGTCGGCGTCCGAGCCTACCCTCCTGCGTCTAATGACGACCGCCTCTGCCACCTCGCGATAAGCCAGTCCTTTGTCGGGTAAGAGTGCTCCAACATACCTGCTATTCAAGAGACGGCAGCTTCGGCTGCTGCGTGACCATTTGTATCGAAACCAGGCATCGGCGCATAGGTTTATGTGAGCTGTGCCTCACCCGGTCCAAGTGCATGCCAGTAAACGCCACAAAGTCGTTCATCCCTGCGAGCGTGTGGGCTCGCATGGGTAATTCGCACCCCGTGCGGCCACGCTGGGCTTGCCCGCTCTGCGGGCATCCGCCCAGTGATTCGTTGCTCGCGCACTGTCTTCGACACGTCGATGCACAACCAGATATCCTGTTTCGCGCCGAGGTAACTTGCAAGGAGGGGCTCAGATAGGCTCAGAATTCCTCCTCCTCCTCCTCCTCCTCCTCCTCCTCCTTCGTGACGTCCTCTTCTTTCTCTTCTCGTGTTCTTCTTCAGCCTCCACCTGGAGTGCAGAGGACCCGGGCCCCGCCAGCGGCGTCGGGCCACGGCGTCGGACACTTCTCTCCCCGAGGCCGCCGACGGTGCTCCCGAGGTGACGCTCGCAGGTCTCGAGCTGTCTCGAGAAATGCGGCGGACCACCTCTGCAGACACCTCCCTGCTCGCGGCGGCACGGCACGCCTCGGGCGCACGATCCGCCGCGTCCGTACAGCCACTTCGGCTCGGGCCGGCGGGTGCCACTCGGCCATGGCGTGTGCCGGCGAGGGCGCGGATGCGCCCCCGGGGGCCGGGCCCTGTCGGCCGTGTCCGGCCGGCGACGGCGCAGCGACGCCTCCGCGGGCGCCGCCGGCTGCGGAGCCGCCCGCGCAGGGTGCCGCGGAGAGCCCGCTGGGGCGCCAGGGCGCCGCGGACCCGCTGGTGATGTACGTGGTCCTGCGGCAGGACCTGGAGTGGCCCACGGGCGCCCTCATCAATCAGGCCTGCCACGCGGTCGCCGCGGTGGCCTGGGAGGCCCGGGAGGACCCCGAGTCGGTGGCCTACCTGTCGGAGGTGGAGGGGCAGATGACGACCGTGACCCTCGGCGCCCCCGACGGGGCGCAGCTGGCCAAGCTGGCCGACAAGCTCAGCGCCAGGGGCGTGCCGTTCCGGCTCTGGACGGAGCAGCCGGAGCACGTCACCTCCGCGCTGGCTACTTGGCCGCGAAGGAGGAGCGCAGTGCAAAAGCTGCTCAAAGGCTTCAAGCGTTTCTGAGGTTGCCGCCCCTACCGTCATTCCGTCCTTGGGTCAGCTACCCACACTCGTCTCTTTCCCTCTCACACCCACTCTCCCCCCTGGCCGGCACCGCGGTCTCACAACTGCATGCAAGCTATTATTTTGTAGTATACAGCATGCGTGTAGCAGCCGCTGTGTCTTTCGCTCTAGCGAGGTACGTCCATTACTTCGCTTTCGGCGCGGCGTGTAGAAAAAAGGCGCACTATTCGCCACGGAGGCATCAGCAGTACGAATCAAGAAAGGGTGCTGACGCTACTCTGGGATCTTTGACAGAAGGTACCGAATGTGTGCGAGTGTGCCTCCTCCAGCTCCTCCTGCTCCTCCTCCTTCTCCCTGTCGCCCTGCCCAGCGGATCGAAGCACCTGGGAGCTCTGCGGATTTCGAGCCTGACCCTGCTGGTGCCGACAAGGCCTGGACAACAGGGGGATCTCGCGGAGGATGGCGCCAGCTGAGGGAGGAGAGGCCGCCTCGTCTTCGCCTCCGCCTCCTCGCTGTCGGCTTCCGCCTCCTCGTGCCCCTCGCAGGCGCTGGGCCGGTCAGGCTTCTTGGCCGTTGTCCAAGGGGGGGGGCCCTTCGAGTGATGGCTGGCCGTCTCCGGCGTCCGTGGGAAGGCGGGCGCCCCAGCACGGGAAAGCCCCTTGTGGGTCGTCGCAGCGCTGTGTCGCCCAGGGACGGCCTGGGGGGCAGGCTTCTGCGTCCACCGCTCGAGCTCCAGCTGGCCGGCTGGCTCCTGAGCCCGCTGCGGTCTTGGGGCCGGGCCCTGCGAAGTTCTAAGTTCTCGTGGTCCTCCTTCTCACCCCCTCCGCGTCCTCCTTGTCCTCTTTCTCCCCCCCCTCCTCCTCCTCGCCTCCTTTTCCCGCTCCTCCTCCTCCTCCTCCTCCTCCTCCTCCTGCTCCTGCTCCTCCTCCACAATTACTCAATATGAAAATACTCTCCCTTTTCCCCTGATGGCGTCCGGGTGATGGCCGCGCACCCTCCGCGCGTACTGTTCTTTTACACACAGGATTCCCGGGAAATCCCGGGAAACGACTCTCGCTGAGGCGCCGGCGTCATTTTCGGGCCGAACGCCCCCCGCGTATTGTTTTTTTACACAGGATTCCCGGGAAACGGGTTTTCGCCTGCGTTTTTTTCAAAATGATGCTCTCGCTGAGGCGCCGGCTCATTTCTGCTCCCGAATCGTTCCGAATCGTGCTCCCGCTGCAGCGTGGGCCTCATTTTCGGATCGGTGTTTGGCCTCCGTCGTTCAGGATGGCGTTCTCGCCCCAGCGCGGGCCTCTTTCTCGCGCGCCCATCCGCCCGCCACCACCGCGCCGCACCACCACCACCACCACCACCACCACCACCACCACCACCACCACCACCACCACCATCGCAACCACCACCAGCACCAGCACCACCACCAGCACCAGCACGAACACCAGCACCACCACCACCACCACCACCACCACCACCACCACCACCACCACCACCACCACCACCACCACCACAACCACGCACACACGCACGCACGCACGCACGCACGTGCACCACCACCCACTACGCATGCGCGCGCGCGGAGCCACAGGTCCGCTACGACACGCGTCCGCGGATAGAGAAAATCAGCGCCATGGTAAGGGATGGGAGGGAGGGGTAGGACGTCAGATATGACGCGAGCGCACCTAGCTTGGGGCCTCGACCTTCCCGACAAGATCCTGAACTTCATCCGAATCCCAAGAACGCTCCAACCCTTGAAGATAAGACCGCTCCTCCATCCAAACCTGAAATCTCCTGAGCATCCTGGACTCCAGGCCGCACCGTGGAAAGGGGCCCAAAACGTGCTTCTGCAAAACTGGCTTCTCGACCACCTGGAACTCAGTACCCCGACCGCAGTACTTCGCACGCTCCGCAGCCTCGATGCCTAGCACGTCGCACAGCTCCCGCTCCATGGACTCACACATCTCCCCATAGAGCAGTGATAACTCCGCACACGATGGCTGTCGTCGCAGCCGTTCAAACTTGCCCTCGAAATGTGTCCAGTCCTGTGGCAGAGGTGCTGGACCTGAGGGCTGATCTAGCGGAAACGCCTTCGGCACCTTCAGCACCCTCTGTGTCCTCTGATGTGCCATCGTATCTAGCCTAAGTGAAACTTGATAGTGGGTCCTGTTGCTGGAATCCTCTCGCCTGACGCACGCCCGAACTTCCCCAACAAGGTCGTGCGAAACGACAGCGTAGTCAAGTTCACGCCACACTTTGCCTACTCGACAAGTCGGCACCCCCGAATTGACTACCACGGCTCTGAGTTTTCCCAAGACAGGCAGCTTCTGGACCTCCGAGGGCACGTCGTTCCAGTCAGCTGCAATCACAAACGGCCTCTGATAACTATAGAGAGACTCCCCCTGCAGATTTAGCAGTTGTTTACCCTTGGCTCCTTGGGCCCCTTCTCCATCAGGAACGTACAGTGAACACATAGAAACCACCACGCACGCAACCATTGACCCATACAATCGATGAACGCACATGGTGAAGGTGCCGTGCTCCACCTGCAACTTCATTAACGCCTATGTGCTGGCGAACTCGTACTGCTACTCCTGCTGAGGCGCCCCCCAGGACCGTCTGGTCAGCAGGACTGATGCGCAGCTTCCAACATACGTCGGCCGCTGACTTCTCAGACTGTGAAACGTTGGTCTTCATGACCCTGCGCTCCTGGATACAAAGAACCGATGAGCTCTTGAAAATATCATCCGTCGAGGCTGCGATCGCGCCTGACCTTCCTGATTATTCACCGTGGTGATCTCCCACGTCGTGGAAGATGAACTGCTTCGACTGGTACTCTTGGGCGGCGACTCGCCGCCCTTGCTAGACACTCGGCGGGATTGACGCAGGAGCCTCCACACCTCCCTTGCCAGCGCCTGGGCCCTTCCCGAGGATCGGGTGGGAGCCCACCAGGCGCCTCGCGCGTGCACGAAGCTCCTTCGCCGAAGCTGCAGCGCCAGGCTGCGCTGGCGTCTCGGCCGCGCCGGGTTGTGGGCAGCCCTCGGCGGGCTCCGCGCCTGCGCCTGACTGCGCTGGCGGGGCGGACCCTGCAGCCTCAGGCGCCGCAGGCTCCTGGCGGCGCCGCTTCGACTGCAGCCGAGACTTGAGCTCCTCATGCTCCTTCTTGTACTGCTCCGCCTTCTTCTTGAGATCTCCAAACATCGCCTTTGCGAGCGTCTGGAACTGCTCCTTGAGCTGAGCCTCACGCTTGCGCGCCTCCTCCTTGTCTGTCTCCTCGACGTCCACGAACTCCGCCAGGCCGAGGAGGTCCTCCCCGCACGAGAGTGTCCACTCCTGCTTCCCCTCCAGCATGGCCTCCAGGCTGAGGGTCGGCGGCGCCTGCTGGACGTCCGCGGGCGGCGCGACGACGGCGTGCAGCTCTTTGATCGCCTCTGTGCAGATGCCCTCCTGCTTCTCGATCTGGTCCAGGAGCGTGGTGACCTCTGCCTCCTGGTCCATGACCTGCTTCTGTAACTTCTCCAGCTGGGCGGACTCGGCGCTGAGGTCCTTCTCCAGCTGCTTGATGCACTTGTGTGCCTGATCAGCTCTGACTTGCGGCGGCGCGTGCTGCTTGTCCCTGATGGCCAGCACTTGCTGGTAGTACTCGACCGTCTGGATGTTCTTGCTCTTCTCTCCGAGCTGCACCAGTTGCTGCAACTCTGGCACCGTGAGCTCAGGCACTGGGTCTGAGCAGGCCTGGACGAGGCCTGGCTGAATGGGCGGACCGTGCAGAGGAGCGCGACCACCAAGCCCAGGCGGAGTGCCCAGGTCACGGCCATTGCCCTTGGGCTTCTTGTTCTTGCCCGTCTTCCAGTGCCGTTCACAGTGCTTGCGCCAGTGCTCGCTGATGGGTGTCTCGCCGCAACCGCAGTGCGTACACTTCCAGACAGACGCGTCATGCCAGCCTCCTGCCATCGCGCGTCTCTTCGGAAGAACTGCGAAGGCGCCGAAATCTTCGAAGGATATGGCCCTCACCCTGGGCCAGGGCTTCTGATCGAGAGCCGCGCGGGTCCCTGGACCACCTTGAGCCCCAACCCCAGGGAAGGCGAAGGCCCCAGGCAACGGCTTGAGCCAGGCTACGGATCTCCACCTCCTCCTCCTCCTCCTCCTCCTCCTCCTCCTCCTCCTCCTCCTCCTCCCTCCTCCTCCTCCTCCTCCTCCTCCTCCTCCTCCTCTTCCTTCCTTCCTTCTCCTCCTCCTCCTCCTCCCCCGCCTCCTCCGCCTCCCCCTCCTCCTCCTCCTCCTCCTCCTTCTCCTCCCCCCCCTCCTCCTCCTCAGCCACTTTCCATCAGGCCCCGCGGCCGCTGGGTCACCCTCTCGCCGCCCGCGGACCCCTCCTTCCGCTCAGGAGCTTGGTGTGGGGGGGGGCTCACCTCCCAGCACTCGCACCTTTTACTGCTACTTTATGTGGAGCACTCTTCTGAATTTCGTGCTGCACAACCCGCTGCATACCATTGACGCATGGAGGGCAGAGGATATCGCATCGAGCCTCGCTTTCGCAGACATCATCGCGTGCCCCGCCACCACACAGAGGCAGATATTGAAAGAGCCAGTGTCGACGCCACAGGCCAAGACGCACGTGGTCTACCAGTTCGGGCGCGAGAGAGGGCGACACACCAACAAGAGCGCGGGCTGTGCAGTCTTCCTGTGGAACAGGGTGATCAGGAGCTCGCGCGTGGTGGAGATCCCCCACCCACCCAGCGACCTTGCGGGGAGAGGTGGGCTCATCCGCGTCCGCCCGGGACAATTCGACGGGGCGGTGATTGTGGCGTACTTTCCCCCATGTCCAATATGAAGGCCGACCAATGGCGTGCGACCTGTAAGGGATTGGCTTCGTGGGTCCACTCTAGCATCCAGTTTGCAAGCAGCGCCCCCTGGCGGTGGCGGGGCTCGACGCGAACTGCCAGTTCGGACGCCGACGCGCAGGGTAGGGGCTGAGCGCGCCCACGCAGGACGGACGGCACGTCGGCCCACACGCGGTGGGATAGGATAACGAAGTGACAGCTGAATTGTGGCGCACTATGGAGATGGGGGATCTGGCGGCGGTCGACAGCTTTTTCTCTGCCGGCCCCGCGTACTTCGGCACAGGCCCGCAGAGCGCCCCCGACCATATTCTGGCGCCGGCGGGCGCAGTCCAGGCGACGAAGCAGTGCAAAGTCTTGAAGCGCATCATGAAAGAGTTGCAAATCATTCCTGACAGCCGACCCCGCGACCACGCCCCCATCCTG